TATAAGGCAATATAGCATTGGTGCTAGCGCAAAAGCTAACAGGCTAAGCTGAGGTTCTTCTTCCATGAAGCAGCTCTGTTGTCCTCCATCCATATTTTCAGACGACTCAAACCAAGTTTGGTGTATTTTAGCCTTTCTGTGTGAAACTTACAGCTTTCTGAAACTCTTTTGGACAGAGAGCGTTGTGTATGAAACTGAGAATTGATGTCTGAGTGTCCAAAAGAAGCAGTTTTACTTTCACAACTGCAGCCTAATGACATTTCACCATGATGGACAGAGAGCAGTTTTAAGTCCATTGCCTCTGCGATGGGGGACAATAACTATGATTACAATGAAAATGTGGAATTCAGGGGAAAAAATGAAAAAAGTGGAATTTGGAAAAATAAAAACAAAAACAGAATTTGGGAAAAAACAAAACTGATTTTATACGGCCCTAGTTTCAMAGACCAACAGCCAAAAACAGAAGAAAAACTAGAAATATTTAAAAGACTTTAAAGTGTCTGTGACATGCATATCCTTCAAATACTTTGTAAAAAAATATTCTTTATATATAAGAAATTTAGCATAATACAAGATAAAATTGGTAAAAATGTGTGTAACTGACAGATTTTCTTCTTAATTTGGCTCAACTGAAACAAAACAGGAAGTGACATCGAAGGGGAACTCTGAGGAAGACAACTCCCTGGTGTTCGTTTAATGAAACAATAAGATTTGAACTCTGACACATCATCTCTCACTAACAGAGACTTACAATAAGCTAAAAAAAACATCAAGTACTTCTCTACAGTCTTTGTTAGCCGTAGTAGCACTGCTCTGTTTACATTCAGACATTCCCCTGTGACATCACTTCCTGTTATTTTACATGTAAATATCTCAAAAACTGTTCTTCTCAGTGGTGTGAAATTATTTTTGCAATATGTTATCTTTCAAAAAATTAAATCATATTTATTACAAAAGTTGATGAGTCAGGCCCTTTAAACTGCAGCTGTTTTTACCCGGTTACTGAGGATCTTCTGCACGGGTTCAGAGTCATCAAACACCACGAAACCAAAGTTGGGAAGCTTCCCTCCACTGTTGATCCTCAGCTCCAGGACCGTCCCGTACTCTGCAGGGAGGAAAAGGTTCAACACTTCAGACTGCTGGGTATGCTAATGTTAGCTTCCAGCTGATTTTAGCTCCTGTTCTGCTAACGTTAGCTTCCAGCTGATTTTAGCTTCTGTTCTGCTAACGTTAGCTTCCAGCTGATTTTAGCTTCTGTTCTGCTAACGTTAGCTTCCAGCTGATTTTAGCTTCTGTTCTGCTAACGTTAGCTTCCAGCTGATTTTAGCTTCTGTTTTGCTAACATTAGCTTCCAGCTGATTTTAGCTTCTGTTCCGCTAATGTTAGCTTCCAGCTGATTTTAGCTTGTTTTGCTAACGTTAGCTTCCAGCTGATTTTAGCTTCTGTTCTGCTAACGTTAGCTTCCAGCTTGTTTTAGCTTCTGTTCTCCTCCTTCACACCAGGTTTCCGACGTGTCGTTTAAAACGTAAACAGACTCACGTTCGAAGAACTCCTTSAGCTCGGCCTTGTCCACGTCATGAGGAACGTTTCCCACAAACAGCTGGTGAGTGTCTGGATAGCGGACCACCCTGCGCCCCTCGGTCTCACCCTGCTCACCTTCTCTCACTGCAGAAACACAAGGCTGAGTGTGAACCAGTTCTAACCAGGATCTGCTTTAGACCCATTCAGATGTGTACCTGGTCTGGGCCCTCTGTGTGCAGGAGGGGGTCCCCCAGGTCTCTGTTCTCGTGGTCTCTGGTCTCTCTGGGGTCTTTGTGTCGTGGTCTGGTACTCTGACTTTGGCTCCGCCCTCGGCTGCAACAAAAACATGATTCATGAGGAAAAAAAGAGAAAACAATCCTGCTGCTGAAAACAGGGTTCCCACAGCTTGGTCAACTTCTAATTCAAGGACTTTTCAAGGACTTTCCAGGACCAATTTTCTCAAATTAAAGAACGACGCGCAGCAGAAACTACGTACTGCAGAACGTTACAATAAACAGGTTTAGTATCATGTCAAGTCAGTGAAAAACTGAAGTTGAGTCAGAATCAACGACGTCAGTTTTTCCACCACAACAAATACCGTATGTTTGTTTTATTATTTATTTTTTTAAAAGATGATGAAAATCAGTCATGTGAACAGAGAATTTCAATCACCAAAAAACCATTCAAGGACTTTCAAGGACAAGTGTAATTTTTGGCTGTTCTCACAAACCTTTCCWGGGCATTGAATTTTTTCAAATTCACAAACTTTCAAGGATTTCAAGGACCCGTGGGAACCCTGTGAAAACTTAAATGTGATGGTCCGAGCGTACACCTGAACCCACCTGAGCTGTGGGCGTGGCTTTGACGACGTGTGGGGGGATCCCTGAGACGGGCACGGCCCCGCTGGGGGGGAGGTTCTTACTGGTGACCGACGCCCAGGAGAACGGCTGTGAGGAGTGACATCACAGGAAGTTACGTCATGTTCCTACTTTATTGCACAAAATCAAACATTAACACACAAAAAAACAATGACATTCTCATTTACAAACAATCATTTCATTTGTATTTAGAGCACAACTTCTTCAATATTATAGAGCAAGGACATTTTTTCTCATCAAAGCCCGAGAAGCAAAAAAACAAAATAAAAATAAAATTTAAAAAAACAATTTAAGGGGTTATTATCTGAAATATCTTCATTAATTCACACAATTTTTCAGCTTTTGCCTCTTAGACACCTTTCAAACAAGATTTCATTCATCAGAGCACAGAATGAGGGAGAGCATTTTGCAAATTGACATTTATGTTTATAAAATTTTGCTACAATGATTACATTATAAACAAGAAATTCCACATCATCTAGA